TTTCACCTAAATTGCATACAGTTAGATTTATGGGCTTTAGTGTCAATTATCAAATGGATTAATGACTTGCTTCGGAAATTGTTTAGCGGTAAATATATCAAATTCGAAGTCATTCATTTATAGTTATTTTGAATTTCGAATACATAAACTGAATTTATATTCTACAAAAAGCGAAAAATAACTTATTTTAATACATAATAATATGAACAAACAGTAACAAAAAAGCCAATCGGATGGTGATGATGCGTCCCAATTATTGTCTGATCTTTCCATCAATTGGTAGGCGCCAATATGTTGGCTTGTTTCTGGGAATGTAGAAAAATGTAATTATTCTGTTATGTTGGTGCATCATTGAAGTACTTGTACTAGAATAATTAAGACAAATTTGCTCTGGATGTGAGTTCTGCTCTGATTCCAATGTAGAGGCTCCAAATATTTCTTTATTTAAGAGCTGTAAAACTTGAATTCGAAACGACAGCTACTTTTTCTTCCTCAGCTTTTAACATGCCCCCAATGGAGTCAACGTTTGTACCTTTCGTTTTTAGTTTTTTTGGTACTGGGGCAAATGGCGAGGGAAGTGGAGTACTTCGAGGAGAAAGAGAAGTAGTTATCGTATTTCTTCGAGACTCATCATCACTGACACTATGCCTTTCTCTCAATTCTTTCTGCATCTCAGTGAGTTTCAGATTCCTCCTCACCTTCATGAAAGTTTCCCGAACTTTTTCTTGGTATCGTTTGGTCCTTAAGAAATAAAAGCGAATTGAAATATATCCAGTTTTTCGGAATCATTTTCGTCAGCGCCATCTCCAGAGCGTTTATATGGTATTTCGGATAATTTCTTCATAAACGTCTCCCTTAACCTTTTTCAATGCGACTCCACAATACTGACTAAGAAAAAAATACCTAAATACCAAAATAGTAATTTTATTTAACGTCCTAATATTTTTTAAATAGTTTTTGTTGTATAGTGAAAAATTTAGAAAAGTCGACTTTGCTACAATTTGTATTCGACTCCTGAAATATTATATTTATATTTGTATTGAACACAATAACAGTAATTACCCGTATTTCTATAAAAAATTCTAAAAATTGTAATTAATGGTATTATCTCGGGTATTACCATAATTTTTGGGGTAAAATATTTTGTGATCCATTTTCTGCTATCTCTGATATGTGTGGAGGAGTCGATGGTAAGTCTTCTATATATCGCTGATATCAGACATTTTGATAATATAATTATCGAAGTTTAGCTATCTACGAAAATTTTATATACTGATTTTGACAACTAAAACAATTACATAGGAACCTAGGACAAACGTCAAATGCACAGCAGCTTGATTGAAAAATTATAAGTTTCTATTGATTAAAAATCTGTATCGTTATGAAAAATCTGTATCATAATGGGTATATTCTGAAACGGACTATAAGCACAGCTTATACAATACAGCTCCACAACTCCGTGTCGGCGTCTTTGATCTGGCGGTCGAGAACCAAGCAAGACGGAATGGTGCTATCTCTGTTAGATTAAAGGGAAAAGTCGGGCCTGGATTAAGCAATTTTTTTAATTATTGAAAAAATTGAAAACCTTGACGTAATAAGGTTGGTTACATGCCATGTTAAGTAAGTTTTGGGAAATTAAATTTTTAATTTGTTTTAAATCTGTCAAATATAATTAAAAAAATTATTTAAATATAAATATTACGAAAAATAGCACATCTTTCGGATTAGAGGTAAAATAATTTGTATGTGGCTAGTAAAATCCTCGTTAACAAATGTTTTGAGCTAAAACAGTCACTTCACGACAAAGTGTGACTTGGATCCTTTTTACACCAAGGGCTTCAATTGTTAAAGAAATGTGTCACGCTCGTGGATGCAAATCAAGTGGTACCCCGTGTCTCTGGCAAGTGTTACTCTTCGCGCAAAGGGTTTATACCTAGATAAACGAATGCTTCGACTGAGGTCTGGGAACTCTATGGTATTTTGGAATTATAAAGAATTTGTGCTTTTATTTTAACAATATTGGTTATATTTAGATGTATTCTTATTAATTGAAATACAGATTTGTAGAAGTAATACTTTAACAGTTTTTATTAATATAATATATTCAATTTTTATCTGACCATACCGAAGTAGGGAATTTTGAAACTTTATAGTAATGTGAAATTTGAATTATAATATTACACGATATTACATAATTAGTACTTATTTTAGGTAGGTACTAAATTTGTACTTGGAGAAAGTAATATCGATTTTTACAAGAAAACTTGAAAAGTAAATTAATTTAGTTCTTATTTCTGATGTAAAACTTAAACCAAGAAAACAAATAAATTGTAGTTTGTTCAACAAGGGTGGATATGATAGCCATATCACACAAAGACGAAGTTTGAGCACGACGTCGTAGGCGGAGTACTCAATCGTCTGATTGTGATATGAACAATCCACTCGATATGGTCAGTATATTTTTTCTACGAGCCACTAACGAAAATCTACAAATTTAAAAAATTATTTTAGGTTATTTAGACAAAATAACTAATTTTAAAATAATTTACGAAGTTGACTAATTTATAAAATAAAATAAACATGAAAAATTAATTAGTCCTCGGCCTAGATTCGATCCCGGGCTTTTCGCATGGAAGGCAGATGTTCTGTCCTCATCTTCACCGAAACTTTCAGGACTTTAGTTTTAATACTCGTAATTAAATTAGTATCATGTAGTTTGATTAAAATTTATTTTTTTTAAATGTGGACATAATAAAAACAAAAATGCTATTATTTATCGAGTCTACACAAAAATTTTAATGTATATTTAATATCAATAACTAAAATATATATTGACAATTAGTTTAACAGAATTATCACTTATTTAAAAATTTTTAAATAATAGGAGTTGGGTGACCAAAATATGAACTGTGATTTGTAGATTTAATTTTGTTAAAGTGTTCTCACTACCTAAAATGGATATGAAATATATTCGTAGTTGAACGCAATAACATAATTTTTCGTTTTGTAGTATGTGCGTAGATTGGCTAATATCCATGCACAGATTACAAAACGTATGCTATTGCCTTCAATTAAACGAATATATTTCATATCCATTCTAGGTAGTGAGAACACTGCAAAAAAAATAAATTCGCCAATCACCGTTCATATTTTGATCAACCGACTGCTATTATTTTTAAAATTTTAAATAAATGACAATTCTGTCAAACTAATTGTCAGTATATTTTTTAGTTATTGAGATTAAACATACAATAAAATAAGTTATTCTTTTGGAAAACGTTAGCATGGATGACTAAAGGGTATTGGGTTAATTAATTCTAAAAGTGTGGTACAAATGTTATTTTTTGTAGCCAATTCTTCAAAATTATTTTAAAATATCTTTTCAATATTGAATATTAGTTCTACAAATTCATCATTTGACAGTTGCAGATTTCCAAATGTATCTGAATTGGCGTTATCATATGCCTTTTGAAAGCAATAAAAAGAAAAATCGTCTAATTCAACGTGATCTTTGTTATATTTAAGACAGGTATCGCAGGAGTGGATCCGCAAGGCTTTTATTAAAAGGTAACCACACACATACCTGATAAAAATTTTCTGTAGCAATTCGTCTTTACAATAATTTAGGGTGTTAATAATTTCATCATAAAATAAAATACAAGGTGTTCAATTTAAAAAACATACATTTTAATTTTCCAGGCAAAAACGTGACACCCTGTATATCCAAAGATATTTTTAAAATATGTAGGTATTTTTCAAATCCATATAACTTTTATTTAAAACTTTCTTGCGTGTCTACAACAAAATAATGAACAATAACGCACTAATGAGAATAAATTAAATTTTTAACAATGAAAATTTCTTATAATGTAGTACTTATCGGTTTGGGTCCTTGGGAAAACTAAAGAATGTTTTCTTGCAGGTATAACCCTTATTAAAACAGCTTTTGACTGCACAAACTTATTCTACTCACAGCTAAAGAGTCACCAAAATAATAACAGTACCTTTAACTCAAACAAAATCAACGAAATTATAGGCTCCACGAAATTATACAATCAACGAAATTATACGCACGACTCAACACCTTGCCTAAGTACGCTTCTGAACGCCAAAACCGTCTTTTCCCTTCGAAGGCGGAGCTTAAGCGATGCGCGACGAAATCGACGCAAACCGTTGCCGCCAAGAGAGTGTTTTAGCTGTATTGTATAAGCTGTGCTATAAGCATATAGGTGCATTATTATGATGATACCGGTGTAGAAAAACAATTATTGTTCAGTTGGTTGTCAATTCACTAATTTTTACTTTATGATTTTTAATGGATAATAAGGTACCGATAAATGCAACAGGTTCGAGCCCCGCCTGTAGCAGAATTCTTTTTAAATTTTTCAAATTTTCTTTGGTTTGTTATTGCACCCAGATTTCTCTAGCATTTGTTTCGGCAATTTAAACTGACAAAATTTTTCATATTAAACCTTCAGTTTATCCATCATTTTTACTATTTGAATAGCTCACATAAAAAATAACAACTTGTTTTTTATTTAGATTTTAGTTTTTTACATGTTTTATGTTTGGGAAGGGCGTTGGATTTTTTTTTTCATTTTAAGGGGCGGCGGTTCAGAAAAGGTTGGTAACCTTTTGTGTGGATTAAACTAAATGCAAATAAGTAGATGCCAAAAGTGCAATATTTATTTATGTTTATGCAAAGATGTTAACTGTTTTTTATGTCTTTTCACTTAAAATAATATTTTTGTTTTTATTTTGTTACTTTTATTTATTAACTGCATATGTGTTTATTTTAGGTAAAAAATAAAAAAACTAATTTTTGAAATAAATTATTTTACAATATTTATGACCTGATGTACAGAATTGCAAACATTTCCCTATCTATGAAAGTGAACTACTCTTTCGAATTATCTTTTTTTTGTAATATTTTCTTACGTTCCCATAACTTGAACTAGACAATAAAAAAATTGTTCATGAAAAAATAAAAAGTTAATTACCTTCAATACTCCAATATCATTTGTGGAAGCATACTCTCCAGTAAAATTTGGGTGTATAAATGCTTTAGAGATATTTCTTTTTGTGCCCTCATAATATATCGTAGCGCCATAGGTAATCGTTGCTGTATATGGATTCTCACTAAAATTGTTAAACAGTAAATAACTAAATTTACATTTGATTTGAGTGGGTGACAGAAATTGATATTTTAGAATACATTTATTTGGGGAGTGATTATAAACTTTTCAAAAAATCCTGAAACGAGACAATTTTAATTTGAAATTGGCAATTTTGAACATAAAGATATTTTCTCTCATTTTCCCCTCCGATGAATACTTTCATCTCTGAATTATAACAACCCTCCCACAAAATGTTAAATTGAAAATTGTATTAATGTATTTTAAAATTGTTAAATGTTTGGAAGAGAAAACAAGTTTATTATCTCATAATAACAAACAACTACTAGACTAATTTATTTGCCGCATTACAAGAGGTAAGACGCCCAATAAATATTGTCACGATAGTCTAATTTATTTTATAGTTTATTTATTTAAAACACACTTTACAATTTATTTAAGACGTACTAATTAAATTATATAATACTTAAACACTAACAAACAATTTTAATTTATTTATTACAATTTAACTTTTCTTCTCTAGCACTTTATACTAAACTAAACTGTGCGTCGATGAGTCGGCTATTTATATCAAGTCCAATTCTGTGCTCGTAGTTTATAGGCGCTCTCGAAAATTCCATCTTTGACTTAACGTCACACTTTGCCCGTTCTACCCGTTTCTCGAGCCTCAACGGCATTCCTAGAACATTCCGTCGCCTCGAGCATGAGTCGGGGCCAGCTGAAGGTCGCGCTGAGATAGAGTTGGATTAGGAATTTTATGACATTGCCCCCTCCTTAAAAAATAGTTCCTCGTAAATGGTCTTTTACAATTTCCAGTTGCATAGAATTAACAGGGGACAGTCTTCGTTATAACCTAAAGGCTGGGACAGTGGCTGCAGACCAGTATTTCAATCTGAGTATCTTGAAAGATTACTTCCACCATGTTTCTTATAATCCTCCAATTCAGCTGGTTGCTCTCTATCTTTGGCATAACTAGTTTCTGTACATTGGACTCCAGTACATGCTCCCTTAGACTGAGTAATGCTTCTCATACATCCTGATAGGTGGATCGATCTCGGAAGGTCTTCCTTGTTACCAAACAGAAAAGATAACGCGATCCATCTTGAAGTTTTAATGTTTTGCCAGGGGCTGGTAACTGATCTTAAAGTTCTGTCAATCGACCAAACTTCTTCCGGAATACAGATGCCAAACCTCAAACATCGTAGATGTTGGCGGAAGTGCTATGGACCAGCAAGTAATCTTTAGAAACCGTGAGCAGGTCTTGTTGTTGTTCGGTTGTAACACCGTATCTTGCTTTTCCGATACCTCCATATGCACCCATAATTTATTCAAAGACATGGTCATGTGTTTCTTGGAGCTGGTTCACTTCTTCCTCTTCATGGTCACCCTCAAATGGCGGCAGCCGGTTTTGGTGTACTACCCTTGGTTTACCGTTCATGATCTTACATATACGGTAAATGACAGCATTGATTCTTTTCTTGATGAAGTATGGACCTTTAAAGATTTGGATATTAACCCTTTTGTCTTTTTGGGTTATGGAGTCAGACTTTGTCGCCTTCCTTGAAACATCCTTCTGTAGCTTGGGTATCGTATCGCTTCTTCATTCTGTCACTGACGATTTGAACATGCGAGTGGACCAATTCATGCATATCTCATGCTTAAACAGACCTTTGCTGATGTTTGGCCTGTTGATTCATTGACAGCGAAACTATAAGCCATTGCAAAGAGCGAAAGATACTGATCCCAATCTCGCTGATAGTTTGAAACCACTTTTGACAGATATTTGCCTATGATCTTATTCATTCGCTCTACCATTTCATCAGATTGTGGGTGCAATGCTGTGGTTCTGGTTTTCTTCATGCCTAGTCTTTCACAGATTCCACAGAAGAGTTGGCTTTTAAAATTTCTGCGTTGGTCACTGTGTATCTCCAAGGGCACTCCAAATCGACAAATAAACTCTTTTACCAACACATCTGCAACAGTTGCAGCCTCTTGATTTAGAATGGCGTAGACTTCTACCCACTACGTGAAATAATCCATAAACACCATCATGTATTTATTACCATTCTCGGTCATGGCGAATAGTCCAGCAATATCAAAGGCGATCCTCTCAAATGGACTACCAACGCTAAATTGCTTCATGGGAGCCTTCCTTTTTCACTAAGGTCCATTACTTATAGCACAGCTGGTACATTTCTTATACCAGTATTCTACATCATCGGAACAGTTAATCCAATAAAATCTTTCCCGAACTTTCTGAAAGGTTTTCCTAACACCGAGATGTCCTCCTGATGGACTGTCATGTAACTGCCGAAGTACTTCGGATACTCTACTCCTTGGAATGACCAACTGTCTTCTGTTCTCGGAGCCATCATCATTTTTAAGCACTCGCTTTAATAAGCCATCTTTCAGGATAAAGGAGTCCCACTGAGCCCAATATGATTTAACTACTGGAGAGAGTTTTGATACTTCTTGCCAAGTAGGTAGACAATTTTCGTCTTTTATTCTTTTATCTTCTTTAAAACAGGATCGTTCTCTTGTTCTTCCCAAAGTTTGACAGGGGCCCACTTATTGCTAATAACCGACGTTCTTCGTACTGTAACTTCTTTAAAAGATGTGGCCAACCCCTTTCCATTCAGAGTTCGTTGACCAACACCTTTCCGATCAGAATACCTCATCCAACCTCTTCATCGTGTTTCCAAGGTTCCATCATGACAGGTGTTCCTTCGTCCATAGTTTCTTGAAGCCGTGCTACTATAACGGTTTCACTTTTGCTTTCCCCATATGGATGTAGGAATACCTCTTTGGCACCAACTTTGATTACTCTGTTTTTAAAGTCCAACTGGAAACCATGTAAGTTCATTACATCTATTCCAAGAATAACATCTTCTTCGATATTAACGACAATAACAGTATAAGTAAACTTGTATGTACCAATTCCCAATTAAACCTGGATTTCCCCATGGATGTTGGCACTTTCACTTGTGGCAGTCCGCAGTCGCAATCTTGTTGGTAGAAGTCTCTTACAAGTTCTTTATGGTTGTTGGTCGTATAATGGTTCTAGTTGCTTCAGTATCCGCCAACAGCGTATACTTTTTACCATTTACTTCGCCGTCTACGTATACACTATCATCGCGGCATTTCAAAGAGGCTATCAGTATGAGAGGGTCTTTGGAACTGTTTTGGGTCGAAGCTGACCCCTCTAAGCCGACTCGCTCTAGTTTTCCTGCGGCGTTTTGTCTTCAGTTGCTGGGACCCTAGGGCGTTTGCACAAACTGCGTACATGTCCCAGTTCACTGCAATTCCAGCACCTAAAGGTCTTTGTCTTTACCCTTTTATCAGTAAAGCTTTTCATTATATCAACCAATTGGTCGAGTTTATCTTCTACGTTTTCTTCTATTACAGTTCTCATTTTACTGTATCCTCCAGAAGCCTGCGCATCTGCCTCATACTCTAGCAGCGAACAAGACATCGACCAATGTTTTGTGGCAGGCTAAGCGAAGTGTTTTCTGCATCTCGTGGTCACGGAGTCCATCAACAAATGTTTGGACCGTTAAACATTCCATCATGTTTTTCAGAGCTGATGGGTAGGCAAATCGCACCAACCTGGCAATATCTACTTCATATTCTTGAAGGGTCTCGTCTCGTTTCTGTTTGCGATTCTTTAACTGTGATTGGTATAGATGCTCCAAATGTTCGTGACCCTATCGCATATTTAGTCTCTTTTTGAGTTGCTCTTCCACGGGTTTAGTCTAAAGGACATCTAAAGCGTCTCCTCAAAGGGCGATTGTCAGATTCACTGCCTTTTTCTCTCTCAGACCATTCGTTTGCTCTCGCAGCTGTCTCGAACTGTTTCAGGTAGTTGGTCCATGACATATTTCCGTCGAAGGTTGGAACTTTAACACGAGCAGAATTTACAGCTCCTTTCAATTTTAACTTCGACTCCAACTCATGACACTTTATTTCACCGTCCTTGGCCGGTTCAGTATGTTATCCAGTTCTTCTATCTTCTTTTCCATTTCCTTTATATTCTCCTCAACGGAAGACATTATTTTCTCCTCAATGGAAATCATCTTATTTTCCACATCAGCAGAAATTTAGTTTTTTAAAGAAGACTTCTCGGAAGACACCCTTCTAAGAAATAAATATTAAACGAAACTTAATTTCCATAGAAGAAATTTTGTTTTCCTAGTCTGAAGAAATTTCATCTTTTAAATGGGAGATTTCGTTTTTCATGGAAGCAACATCAGAAGACACCTTTTCTTCTAAGGAAGAAATATCAGAAGAAACTTTAGTTTCTAAGGAGGAAATATAAAGAAGAAATATCGGTTTTCATGGAGATCATCTTACTTTCCATATTAAAAGAAATTGAAGAAATTATAGCATCCGAAAAAAGGTACGTTTCCGGATTCAAACTTCAAACTTTAAACTTGCGAAAATAGTCAAAACGGATTCAGGGGACCCCAAAACGTAAAAACCCGTCGAAAACCCGAGGTCAAAAAAATCATGATACAATATTTACATAAAATATATAATGTTGATCAAATTTCAAAATTTACAAATTTATTAACGTATTATCAGTTCTTAGGAACGCAAGTATCAATTTCAGAGTCTAAGTTAATTTTTGCAATACATTTTCCTATTTTTGAAAGTAATACCTTTGAATTTTATCATTTATTCCCAATTATCCAAAACCAAAAAATGTATACACCTTTATTCCCCTATTTGGCACGAAAACATCAAGATACAAAGTTTGAAAGAGAAGAATGTCCATCCCTTGAATAAACAGATACAGATAGGAAAGTAAAAATATATAGCTTTAAATTTTGAAACATTTAAAAATACTCTATGATAATGAAATATGTTTATATTTTTAAGGAAATTAAAATTACTTCCTTTCTTTAGTGAATTGTTATTTTAAAGAAAATCAACTGTAAAATAAAGATTTGTTTCCTTTCTCCTCCTTTTTTTTTCGGGTCAACCCAATTTTAATGGTGTCATCCCTATGTAAGATACATTTTTACGTTATACAGGGTGTTTCATTGGTAAATGGGCATATGCTAACTGGATATAGGGGTCACCTAGGTGCTTCCAAAAAACCCATACTTCATGGGTCTGTCGCCCTTTATAAGCGAGATACAGAGTGTTTTACCAATTTTGCCGATTTCTTTCTAGACTCATAACTTTTGAAACACGCTATATATTTTTTGATATTTGGTATACAAGTACACCTTAATTTGTCAAATCCAGTGAGGTATTAATAATAGGAAAAATCCAGGTCCGGATTAACAAAAAATTTACAAATTCTTCGATACCTAAAACAACACCCTGTATATCATAATTTTGAATATCTGTTTACAGATTCAAAAAGAGCAGAAAAAATTAGGTTACACCAAGTAGTTTTGGTATTTCCGCATACAGTTTCCTTGCTTATTAATTTGAATCAAATCTAAGTGTTTCTATAAAAAGATGAAATAAAATTTAAAAAAAATATTTTTTTCCTAATTAAGTATTTACTTTTCCAGGTTATATTCATAATAATAATTAACCTCGTTCATTCTTTTAATTTTTGGGTCCCAATCTTTTTAAAAAAACGCAACGACAGGTCTGTATTGGGTGTAAAATTCTTAAAATTCTAATTTCAATACTATCTTAAACGGCCTGTACTTGTAACGACAGTGTGGTAATATTTGTTAAAAACGTAAAATATTATACACATAAGAAAAGGTGAAAAATTTATGGGGCATATTGAGCAAGAAATTATCAAATGACACAAGTACAAACTCGCAAATGGTGTTACACTGACAATAATACACAGAACTGTCAAATTGGTTTTTTATACTACAGCCTACTTGATTGACCATTACTAAAAGTAGGAAAATCCAACTTAAATGGTATTGTTCACTGAAATAAACAATACTTACTAGTAATCATAGTATTTAATTACTTTTTTATTATTGCAACTAAGAAATGAACGAGTTTTAAATAAAATATTAATTAGAAATAAGTAAAGGAATTTATACATAATACATATTAATTTTCCATTATTTTGATCAATTAAAATTTAGAATTATTTCGCAGATTAGTGTTTTGAAGCAAAGGTGTACTTTGTTCGAAATGTAAGTGTCTTTTCATTATTTACTAAAAATTTTAATTGTTTTAACAAATATTACTTTTTTAACAAATATTACCATAATTTCACGTACAGGGCGTTTTTAATTTAGTCGTTAAATTTAGAATTTTTTCTTCAATACGGACCTGTCGTTGAATTTTTCAATAAAATTGGTTTAAATAATCAAGAGCATACAATAAGGTTGACGATTTTCTTAGTTAAATCTCGATAAGTCAATAATTAGGAAAAAAATATCTTTTTTTTAATTTTATTTCATCTTTTTATCGGAACATTTAGATTTGACTTAAATTAATAAACAGGAAAACTGTATGCGGAAATACAAAAACCACTTGGTGTAACTTAATTTTTTCTGCTCTTTTCCAATCTGTAAACAGATATTCAAAATTATGATATACAGGGTGTTGTTTTAGGTATCGAAGAATTTGTAAATTTTTTGTTAATCCGGACCTGGATTTTCCCTATTACTAATACCTCACTGGATTTCACAAATTAAGGTGTACTCGTATACCAAATATCAAAAAAATATACAGCGTGTTTCAAAAGTTATGAGTCTAGAAAGAAATCGGCAAAATTGATAAAACCCTGTATCTCGGTTATAAAGGGCGACAGACCCATGAAGTATGGGTTTTTTGGAACCACCTAAGTGACCCCCATATCCAGTTAACATATGCCCATTTACCAATGAAACACCCTGTATAACTTGATGTACTCGCATAAAGGCTTTAGTTTCAATATTTAATCGACCAATCAACCAATTTGATGTTATAATAATAGCCTATTGTATTAACCCTGCAACTGATTAGAGGAAGAACTAAATACATAAATTTTTCAGACATATCATACTCAAAAATTTCTCTTATTTATATTCATTGCCATCAATAATACTAAAAAATAAAACTTATACTATTTCCCTCAAATGTTTCCATTTCGTTTAAGAGAAATCATTTATACAACAAAACTTATAGAGAATGATATCGCAAACAAGTTTTATTTGAAGAATTTGCTTTTCCAATCGTAAAAAAGAGATACTTTTTAAAATATATTTACGACACCCTATAAAGTATCCCCCAGATGCTTCAACTATGCCCAATATTTGATAAATTCACTGCAGGATGGATTAAAGTTCAAATTTAAAATTTGGCGTTTTTTTTTATCTGTTTTTGAATTATCTTCAAAACACGGCCAATTTTAGAGAAATCTTGTATGGGGCAGGAATAATAAAGAGTAAAATCACAATTGTAAGCGATCCCGACGTTTATAAAACATAACGATAAGAACATTTTGAAATTGGACCGCCTCGCCTGCGACGCGAGGACATTCATCAATAATCCTTCCTAGAATATGTTGAGTCGAGTCAAATAACTATTACTGTATTGCGTTATTTTATTATTATTGTTTTGTTATTAGAATTTCATACGGGGTGTTTCTTTTATTTTCCATTCCTCACACAATTTTTTTATAAATTCGGATTTTGCACTTGTGATGTATTGGGGATGTTAACCCCATTACTTAAGGGTTACAATAATAAGCCGGTATACCACTTAACCAAAACACATTTATTCATTCTTAAACCTCGAAATACAATGCTAATTTTCGCTCGCTAGATACTTCCACCACCACCTATCGGCATTACAAGAAATCTGCCAGTGGCGTATCTAGCGAACTTATACATACACTACAGCACTTTTATCAATTTTCTCGAATACGGATTGTTTAGTAAAAATTATGTATAGAACATAGCGAGCTTCACATGCAATTACCCGTAGAGCCGAAATGTGCCTTCGTCAGCAAGGCAACGTTTTTAAACACTTACTTTAAATATTGTATAAATTGATATTTTTAGTAGAATTTTTGTTATTTTTAATAGAATTTTTGTTATTTTTAGTAGAATTTTTAGTAGTATAGACAGAAACAATTTTTGAGAATCATTTGTTTATCGTCGTCATTTTGACCTATTTTAAGTCATCCTTGATTAGTTTAAGTTTAAATACTATTTAGTTTTACCATTTAAAGTTTCTTTATAAAATAAACATTAAATTAAAGCTAAATACATTTCTTTAGTCACCGGTTTTCCAAACCTGAAAAAAAATTCTGATTTCACAGGCCTGCTAATTATTGTTTGCACTTTCGAATAAAATAATATGAACTTATCATAAAATTTTCAAATGCTATTTTCTTGAAAATGGTGCGTCCTAGCGAGATGCAACAGGAGTAGCTTTATTGTAAAGAAAACATTGGGTTTGCAAATTTTTTAGTCAAAAATGTTAAAAACTGACAACAAAAAAACTTAGGGCAATTTTACCTTAAGACCCCCCCCCCTCTAATTTACCCATCTATGAAGATGATCAAAAACAAAGATTAAGTCCATTACATAGAGCGTAAAAAGGTAAGCATTTGTACTAAATTTAATTTAGTTATCTTTAAGCGTTTAGAAAATATTTACAAAAATGTACCATCAGGACTTCACTTTAAACACACTGTATCTCGGAAAAGAAACGTTTTCGGACCAATGTTTATATGAACTTTTACTCTTATTTTAGGATTTAGATTACGCTGTTAAAATATGACCGTCTAATTTAGGGACACCCTGTATAACTGGGGTCAAGTTTTTATTAATGTCCTTGATAAACTTACTAAAAGAAACAGTGTGCTGCTGTCAGTAAAGTGTTTTCGTTGATAATAGCAGCTCCGCATAAAAACATTGTGGCATTATCCTGCAGAAAAGCTACCTGTAAAATGATAAATTATTATTATTATTTTTGTAAAAATAATTATCTTAACTTCTCACCATATAAGGGTAATCTTTTATGTCAGCATCTTCACCCTCGATTATTTTAAGAGTATGTCTACCTAAAAAATATATATATGTTAACATAAAAGTCCGAAATGAGTGAATTTCGTCATACACCCGTTAATGTCGAGGGACACCAAATGAGTTGGTGAAAGACCGAACATTTATTATAGTTTTATTATAAATTCGGACATTCGCCGGTATATATCACTCGCAGATCGGAGACAAAACGAATCATTTGTAATTGCTGTGATGGGAGGTGTTAATGTGAATACGTCTTGTTTGTTTTCATTCACGCTGTGACTAGCAGTAGTATTTTATATACCTTAGAGGCAAATTTCACACACATGAACAAATATTAATAATGCTGTGACAACAAGCAGACGAAGTAATGACTTCTTGTAGGGTGGTGGCTTTGCCGCGAGCTTTGCCGCAACCATACCTGGCTACGCCGATCGGCATAAACACCAACGGCCTGGATACAGCTCATCTACTCTGTCAAAAGGAGACCGATGTACAAATAAAACTCGTACGACATGTGCACTACAAATGATTAGTGTTGTCCCCGATACGCTAGTGTATATATCGACAAACACAAATAAGCTTCGGTCACTGTCGGAAACAACAACTGTTTCTTTGCGGTTTCTTTGGTTCGCTTACAAAAGGTTTGATTGGTAGCATGTACGCAGTCTTACTAAATTAATTTTAATATAAGTTAGGTACCTATTTGAATTTGTGTTCAATGGCTACTGTAGTGAAAAGTTATCAGTTTCTTGAAAAGTTACACACTCTAATAAGAAGTAAACTAGAAGACAACTGTTTTTATTTCTCTCAAGAAAGGTACTCTAAAATCAGTTTATGAAGTAATTTCTGCTAAAAGTAAGTGCAGTTCACCTTTGGACTACATACGTTTAAAACGTTTTGACATTTTAAAAGTTAGTGTCATTAAACTAGAAGAAGCGAATATTTAGTATTATGTAATGTAACGGTTAAATCCGTTTTCGTTATTTGACCCAGACCCGTTTTCGTTATTTTGAAACCAACATCTCTACACAAACGTCATTTGTCGTTTATGTCTAGTGTCAAAACTTGGATTGTCATTTTCATATTATTTTAAAAAGGTAAGTTTCCTACCGATATTTTGTTGAAAATATATATTTAGTATAAGAAATGTCAAATTTGAAACATAACCTCTACACCTCAACACATTGAAAAACATAAGACATCACATGTTTTATATAAGTTCATATATTATTTTGTTTGAAATAGATAATATGCACTACTATATTTATATATGTTAAATAAGACTTCTTCTTTTCCTATTAAATTCTAGTCTCTGTGTAACTATTCAAATAATAGTTTAATTTGTTCATTTGATAGTAAAAAGCATATTATCTGTTCCTAGATACTCTTTCTGGCTCCCTTCTTTATATTTTTACCTTTTTCCTTGTAGCCTTGCTGTATATAGATGGTCTTATGGTCTTAAAGAAATCCTAGAAGTTATATATATGGTTTCAGTAGATTTAGATGGTTCGATAGAAACTAAATCGAGGATTCAATAGTAGCTGTGTCTGCATGAATTTTGGAAGAACATACAAGCTGCTTGTTGGGAAATTCAGAAGAACGTAGAATACATCAAGAAGTTAGTTCAACCACCGAGAGAAGTTAACAAGATTTAACACTACCTAGTAAATTCTCACAAAGAGGCCTCTACAGTCACTCCTTAACTGTTTCCTGTATACCTCCAGATATGTTAATAAATCATTTAAATTTGAATAATTAAGTCTCTGTGAATTAGAATTTGTCGCTACCTTATTTAATTATAAAATCATAAAGATTAGTGATTTTCTATATTTTCATCACTGATCGATTGTCAAGTCTAGAGAGTTTTAAATATAGTGGCGTCCAATATTCTTTTTCAAAGTCATATGAGTTGTTTAATAACCTGACCCACTCACCAAAATCGTAGAGCTTAAAACACTATAAAAATTGATAAAATAATAAGATCACATTACAGTAACAAATAAAGAGTTGTTTGTTATACTTTCCGAAACTCACATACGAACAGGCCATGGAGGAACAACATGAATGCTTAAAGAATTGCAAGTTAAATACAAAATTATTACTCATGAAATCATAATACTGTATTTAAATTTGTGTAAACAATGTCAAATGAAACACGGTGCGCCTAAAAAAAGTATAGTTGTAAAATCAAGTTCCGAATTAAACTCTAGATGTCAATTCTATTTGATAGACTTGCAATCATAATATAATGGTATATTAAGATCATTTAACAAAGTTTGTTCAGTTACGACCAATAAAAATAAAGAGAGCAGAAGTAGCATATCACCTTCTTTATGTTTTTTAAATATTTGATGCTCCCGCTATATTGCACTTGGATAATGGCAGAAATTTCAGTAACTGAGTCATATCTTAACCATCCCAGATAGCACATGACGTCTGAAAGACGTATTTTTTGTGCCTTGGTTTGGTCTCAAAGTCCTAGGACGTTATTAAGAAGTCTTGCAAAAGCCATAATTCAGACATATTATTGTGAGAGCTCAAAGACGTTCTTAAGACGTCTTAAAAACGTCTTGCCAAATCCATACATAAATGTGAAAGCTCAAAGACGTATTTAACACGTCTGACAAACGTCTTTCAGTCGGACGGAAACTTTACGGTTTACATAATTCAAATTGAACAAGAAGAATCAAATGAAGTAAAGTTTGACGTTTGACTAAACATTACATTCAAGCCGGACTTCCGATTCGGACACCGTCGTGGCAACATTGAAATGGCGGTCTCCGAATCGGTAGCCCAGAAGGCCCGTAAAAATCACAATATATCTAGTATAAAAGTGACCATCCGACTTTAAAAAGTATACAAAATTAAACAAAATATTCAGTGTAATAATTTGGAGAAGAATATTAAAATTAAATATCAAGTGCAGTGGAAAAGTGAAGACGAAGTCTGACGCAGGAGGGTGCAGCCTTTTCACTTAACTGAATTTGGAAAAATAAATGGTGCTGGGTAAATAATCCTCAAAGATTGAGCCCATATAAAACGAAGAAAAGAAGAAGTATATTCAAGCCCAAGCCAAAAAGTTGTATGGCCCAAGCTCCTTGTGGATTATTGATTATACTGGTCCGCAATGAAATTCTCCTTTAAAAAATTATACTATAAATATGAAAATTTTAATGCTCTGAATCTATTCCCGTTGGCCGATTTTTTATATCACGTCTAGATTTTTCAATATTTTTTTTTTAATTTCATAAATTTAGTTATTTTTTTTTTAATTTTTGTGTGTCAATATTAAGAACAGTTATACAGGGTGTATCTAAATAACACCAAAAAAATTAAAGGGGTGATTCTGTGATGAAAATTAATGTCAGTATTTGGTATAAAATTTTTTGAAAAAACCCTTCCCGGAAAAGTTACATCCCTTCGAAAACTAAAAAAAAAAAATGGTTCTTCTTTTTTATTTTCCCTGTATATCAAGTTAAAGACACGAAACTTGGTAAACATTATCTGTCAATAAAAGTACACTTTTTGAAATTTTTTCAACCCTGAAGTATGCTTAGAAGGGGTTGAAATAATCAACCCCTAAGATATTTTTTCTTGCAACTTTTTTTAAGATAAAAATTTTTTCTTTAAAAAAGTATGACTGCAAAGCCCAATTCATTGACTAACTTTTTTATCTCTACAAGTTTTTTTCGAAAACTTAAGCATTTATGAGAAAAAATAAATAAGCTCATGTAAAATAGCATTTTATTAAACAACAGCCAACCAAATTATGATTCTTAAGACTTCTACAACTAAAAACAAAAGTGAACAAACAATAAACAAAAACCTGTCGAATATCGACAATACAATTATAATAAATGTTGAAAATGACTGCCTTCATCTTCAATACAAGCATCTACCCTTTTCCTCATAGAATTGCGTATACGATGAAATATTCCTGGAGAATTTCTTATAGTTTCACACCCTGCTACAATGCGGTTTCGCAGATCATCGATATTTTCAACTGGGTTTGTGTACATCAAAGATTTCAGATATCCCCATATGCAAAAATCCAAAGGATTAAAGTCAGGGGAGCGGGCTGGCCAGTTTACAGGTCCTCCTCGACCTATCCATTGATTGGCATACAGCTCATCCAGGTGAGTTCTTGCACGTATACTAAAATGAGCTGGTGCACCATCGTGCATAAACCATAAATGTTGCCTAATTTGAATGGGAACCTCTTCAAGAAGAACAGGTAATTCTTCAAGGAGATGACAATATGCTTTTCTACGCCCTATTTTTAAAGTACCTTGTATTTCACCGCTTTTTAACGCTTAAAACGGCTATTTATGGTTAGAGTGAAAAAAAGTAAAAAAGCGTGAAATAAAGTGCCATAGCGTTAACTTTATTTCACGCTTTCCATAAGCTAATACAGTGATTAGTGCAATTCGTCCACACCTTTACTGGAAAAAAATATCAAGTCACCTTTGACAGCACATGAACTGTAACTGATTTGACGTTAACAGATTTAATTATTATAGTATCAATAATTCGAGGTGATTTAATTTAGTAGTTCTTTATATTTTTATTATGATGGATAGTGAAGATTCCGAGTTCGAAATATGTACACCGGAAGAAATCGTAGAAAAAGCTAATGTGGCCACACTAAATTTGCTGCCGGAGAAATCTAGAGAAAATTATTTAAAAGAATATGACACTTTTATGAAATGGCGGAACCAGAATAATATTCATAGCTTTACAGAGCGGGTGCTATTAGCGTTTTTTGAAGAAAAGTCTAGAAAATTTAATTTTGGAAGAGTAAAACCAAATTTGGTAGATTTTCACACTTTTATTTTAAAAATAAAAATTTTTAAAAAAACACTAACATGACATATGTTTCGAAGTACAACTTCTTTTTCAAATGTGACTATTTACAATTCGGTATCCAATATATATACGAAATAATTTAACAAAACAAAGTACTTAAGAAAACATCAATAACATTACAAAATAAACTAACTATTTAAAGTAAATAAGGGTAATTAGGTAATTATAA